GACGCACGTGCATAGTTTAGTCCGCGCATCGTCGACATGCAGAAAAGCGCGCTGAATAAACACTCCTGACAGCGTGCCTGTAACGAGTTTAAAATCTAACGATATCCCACCGGTTTGAAACACGGCCGAGGTTCGCCGGCTATCGAACAATCGCCTACACAACAGAAATTTCGATACCCGTTTTATATTCGTTCCCACCTATCCGCTGATATCGATATCCTCCTTTTTTTCCGTTCAGTGAGCAATTACAAAACGATTAGCATTGATCGTTCTTTTATTAAATCATTCATCGCATCATCAGGGTGGTTGTATTCAATTTTTGTTTTGTACGAAGTTCATGATTTTCTCTAGGCTCTCATTAAATCTCGAAACTTCTCGTTAGGCGCAGATTATTGAAACGATTGTACTGCTTATTAGGGTCGATAAATAAATCTAAATTAGACAATATTTCATTATAATTTTTAATATAGTTTTTAAAGAAAATTTCTCATTTTATTACATACAATACTTTTGTATGAAATATTCCTTTAATTCTACATTTTTCATTTTGAAATTTGCACGATTAAAAACACAATGAATTTTCTAGGATTTATACGGGATTGTTTTCGGTACATTTACGAAAATCGATTTGTTAAATATTTAGCAAAAAAGAAAATAATTATGAATCAGAAATTTGTCTAAAGATCGGCAGATTTTTGCGATGGTACCCTTACTGCCAGATGGGGCGCAGTAGAAAGTTCGGCAACCGTGGAGAACCGAAAGTATCAACGGGCGAAGATGTACATAAGGAACTCATATACAGCCATGGGAGTTTCGGTAAGAGAGGTTGCCGCGGCCGGGGGGGAGCGAAGGAATAAATCCAAACAGTAAACACAGAGCGGAGCTTTTGCGAAGGAAACGTTGGTGAAAATTCTAATATATAAAAGATATGAAGAGCCCGGCGCGCGAGGGGGTTGAAACTCGAAGAAGCCTCCGGGATTCAAATAAGTGGGGTTACGCGTGGTTCCCCGTAAGGGAATGAGGGCGCAAGTCGGGGCGGGGCGGGGGTCGAAGGAATCTGAACAGCCAACAACAAGCGCACAGCCTCCGACCTTTATTTAACCTTTTCTTAAAAGAGTCTTAGGAGTCCCTCTTATCTGTAGTCGATGGCCCTTCAGCGTCGGCTCTTATACTTTCATTCTTCCGTACTCTTATATCTTTTTCCTTTGCCCCTCCCTCCCCCTCCCAGCCCCCTCCCCTCGTGTACACACGTCGAACTTCATCGTCTCTTTTCCCTTTGCCGTCCGCTCTCCCTCCCCTGAAAAACTCTTACGTTTTTCGCGACGAGTAACGAGAATCGTTATCCCTTCCGCGTTGTCGCGGTTTCGGTTTAAGATTCTTCGCTTCTTCATTAAGAGAGACGCGAGGGTCGGAATTAATTAAGGAATTAAAGGTCGACCTGTGCGAGGAGCCAAAGTGGATTAAACAATTCTGCTGATCGTCATTTTATTAACTTCGCGGGCAAACGACGTCGCTCGCAATCTGAACGTGCACATGGTTTCTCTTACTCTTTATAATAAGAGTCGCAGGCGAGTTGCAACAGCTGTACTTTAAGTATACCTTGTACATTAATCTTCATAAGTATTTAAATACATGTAAAGAGACTTAGAATATTTATTTACACGATGCATCGCATTGTTGGTCGTAATTAGAAAAAGTAACATTGTTATTTTTACAAGTTGAACGACGGCGGTCGTGCATATTTATTCATGTTACTTCACGAAGCCAATATCGGATAATTTGTATTCTGGCTTTCGCTAACTGAAACGTGTTTAGTACTGATAATTCAATCGATTATCTACAATTGTATGAATAATAAATCGAGCTGCTTGATTGCGTAAAAATGGAAACGCTTAACCGCCCCGCCGCGGCGCGCGGCGGTTCGTGGAGTCGCGGCGAGAGAAACGGAAAGAACAAATTCGGAAGTGCCCGCAGCAGTTTCCGTGCACACGCGCCAAATTCCGTGAGTGCCTCTACTTCTGTTTTCCTTCCACCGCCTCCGACTCCACCGTTTTCTATTCCCTTTCCTTTCTTTCCTCTGCCACTGGCAGACTTTGGCCTGAAACGCCACGCGCGCTGGCGCTCCTGACTAAACACTGATAACGCGCGCCGCGGAATTTCTTTGCATGTTATAAACATACGTAATCGTACACAAATAAGATTAGCATAGGACTCGGCATGCTGGATTTCCAAGAGACACACGGCCTTCCGCCCGTGGGAGACAATCGTTTCGTAGCGCCGTGTGTAAAGGCAAACGTATTTTAAATTTATCTTCCCCAGTCTTCCCCGTCTTCGGCGGTGACTAGAATGTCCGATTGTCGGGAAGGTCAAGCTTTGGTCAACTAGATTGCATAAGCCCTTGCTAATCATTAGCGATAGAATAGCGCAAACGAGAATGATCTTATGCGCAGATAAAGTAGCCCGCTAAAAAAATAAGTAGCGGTCTTATGTAAATTATTTTTATGTGCTAACTAGTCCTTGCGTTATTATTTTTCCTTTTTGTACCCATCAATCACGATTGGAACTGCAGTTTACTGCATTTTAACATGAAATTTTTATGACGAAATGCACACAGTTATAAATAAACGTTTCATTATAAATACATTTCCGTCGCGCATTTATGTTGATTACACGATTGTTTTCGTCGACTAGAATACAATTGACCGAATCAGCAATTTTGCATCATTTCAATGATAGTAAACCGAACGAAAGTTTTGCTGCGTAAAGACGAGTAAAGAAAAAAAAACGAAGAAATATATTCCGCGGAAAAACGCACGCGAGTGTCTTCGACAAGCTGTTTTGCTGTTCTGCTGCCCGATGGATCCTTGCGATGATAAATATTTGCAGAAGCGATGCGTCCCCGAGACACGTGTGTTTGTGGTAATTACTTTGTTGCGTGATGATTGTTTGTTATGCAATTCGGTCCCGACGAAGGCACGAAGTGCAAGGCCAACGGACACTCGAATTGGAAATATTTTCAGCCGAACGTGTCTTGTACATCATTTTGCTTGTTATTGTACGTGATATAACATATGTTTAAGATAAGTGTTTACAAGAACAAGCACAGTTGATTTAGAGCGATATATAATACAAGTAGCTTACTCATCTGTTTCATTCTAGTTTCCGATGCAATTACATATTCCGATGCGTTTACATATACTATAAAATATCTATAGTGATAAAATTATTAGTAGATAGCATCCAATTTGACATATCGTGAAAAATAACATAATAACTTAAAAATAATTTACATTATTTAATGAACTAATAGAGAACTAATATAGATTACGTGCGTGCATATAATAGTAATTGAAATTTAAATCTACTTGAAAATTTATCTTATAAAAAATGTTGTTTTGTAATATTTTATTATAAATAATATTCATTATGGAATAAATTTCAAATGTTTAAAATTTTACGGAATCCTTATTATTTTTGAAAAATAATACAGTTTGTTAAATATATTAAATTCTGATATTATTTTGATGACATTTTGTCATCTAATTTAAGTTACTTTTCATATTATATTATGTTTTGTATATTTATGGAGAATATTAAATTTTAAAATTAATACTTTTTAAAGCCATCATGTACACACACACACACACACACACACACACACACACACACACACACACGCACGCACGCGCGCGCGCGCGTGTGTGTATGTGTGTGTATGTGTGTGTGTGTGTGTGTGTGTGTGAAACTATACATTGTTGGGAAAAAAAGTTTGAAACAAAAACTTATTTGATTTTAAGGGAAAATAAAAAAAGGCGTAACTAAAAAAATGCATTAGTCGAAACAGAAAAAGCTAAAATAATGACATGAAAAAAAAGTGAAATCAAAATGTTATTCCAAGTACATTGATTGGAATAATCAATATCGTAAAAAGAAATTAAAAAAATATTATACATTGATAACAAATAGCAAATTACGTAACAGAAAAATCAAAGATGAGAAGAAATCTCCAGCAGCAGCATACTTGACGCGGCCGTTTTATATACATATAATTTATGGAAGTAATACATGCAATTCATGCTAACAATACATTATTTATTCAACATAATATTATTATCATTCTGTTTATAACATTATTGTTACAAAAAAGTTAATAAGTATAAGAATTTATATGGCAAATTTAGTATATTTAAGTCAATTTCAACTACTTATACCAACGAGTCAA